CGAATGCATTTCTTACATTCATGTAGATGCTGCACAAGAAGTACCTCATGTGCACTTTCCCGTACAGCCCTCACGTTGGGCTTTTTATGTCGGGTGTGATGGAAACAATTGCAAACGGCACTGCCAACGTCGGAGGCAGTCCGTATAGCTCTAGCCGTTCTTGTGTCTTCAGCAGGGACTGTAGCAGTATTTCATCACCTTTTATGATGTCATAACTTGGCTTCTATTCCGCCTTTCTCCTCACTATCCTCACCACGTCTTGATATCTGGGATGATTTTGCTCCAGCGCGAGTCCGGACTCGCGTTCTTCTAGCGTGTATTATTCCACGCCATGCTGATAGAATAATTACTTGGACTATTGTCCTCGTCAATGGGGTTGTTTTCTACCTGGAACCGTGACTGGTTCATTCTCCAGTCGTCACTAAGTGTGATTTGTCTCGGAGGAACATGACGACATCTGGCGTCCAGTTATATGTGTATGAGTGATAGCCTCGAAAGTTTTGAACATTCAAGGCTGCGATAAACACATTGCTGCACTTTAAGCACCGCAAGGTCCTTCCCAGACCCAATATAGCTGGTGGCAGCCAGAGAAGAACCCAGATGAAACGTTCTGTAAACAATTGCTTTACTGACAAAGCGTTAGTCCGAAAAGTAGCCTGTACTAACGCCTGGTACCTGTTATCATAAACGGTCGGCACGGGCTCCACACGGCTAGCTGGCGAAATTGTCAAGGACCCAAAATCGAGGTGAATCGTGGAGAGAGCCATCTAATTTTACTATGCATGTGCAGAAACAGTATCGTTTCAACCAAAATTGGTAATGACAGTGTACCAAACAAGACTGACCGGCAAGGCTAGTCCAAGAAAGAGCAAGATGTGGTTTGGTGAGAGAGAACAAGTTGTGTGTGTGAGGGAGAGAGAGAGAGAGGGGAGAGAGAGAGAGAGAGAGAGAGAGAGAGAGAGAGAGAGAGAGAGAGAGAGAGAGAGAGAGAGAGAGAGAGAGAGAGAGAGAGAGAGAGGGAGAGAGGGAGAGAGGGGGAGCTGTCCTCCACCGACGAATCGAGACACTCCCAGAGAATTCAACATCCAGCCCCTCATCCAACCTATAAAATAGTAAAAGGATGGGTATGCGTGATATGATGCTCATGCCAGTACAAGCGCTTTTTGCATGAAGCGTACCGTCCCAGGACGGGTCCACGTGGCTCTTTGCTCAAATATACATTCAAATATTCAAGTAATGTCGCGTATGACCATTTTTGCAGCACTGCTGTCGGTACGAGTTGTTGCAGCAGCAATGATGTCGTGACACCCTGAGACATATGCCAAGCTAAAGAAAGTTTCCTGTCGTGGCGAGTGACGAATCATGAAAATATTCTGAAAGAGAGCAAGGATCAAGAGTGTTCAACAGATACACAGGTCAGACAGCGAATCAACATCGCAGCAAGCTACCGAACGCGCACGGTCTTCTGCAGATTCATAATATCGGTAGGTACACCTTAAGACCAACTGTCAGTTGCTGGGGCTCAATGGGCGGCCATATGTCATCCAGTTCCTGGTCCAGATCTCCCATCCTCTGATTGGAAAACCCTTGCCGTACGTGAAAACATCACGCCACTTTGTCTCACCAACTAGGGATCTCCCACCCATTCCTGATGGCCAAGTAAATAGCTTTGACGTCGTGAACCTGCTGGCCAAAACGCAAACGGATGAAGCCCTACGTTCTCATCTGCAGCAAGCTGAAAATGGCATGATACACACTACCTGAAAGAACAGCAATAACGATAGACAACATAGTGGAGCTACTCACTTTCTGTGTCACAGCAGCAGCATTCTATCTTGGCAGCAAATGCTACCAACAGACGGAGGCAAAGGACATGGGCCTCCTTCTGCCATCGGCGGCTGACTATACATGCATGCAGCCTTTCGAGGACATGTCGTTGGGTACATCACCACGCACGCCAACAGCGTGGCTCTTGTACACTAACGACACACCCTTCCTCTGACAGCATCAGAAGGACGTGGATACATTCCTGGACCACGGCCACATCCACGGTCCACATCAATCGATCCAGTTCACCGTAGAGCGAGTGGGAAACACGGGTGCCGTTCCTCGGTGTGCAAGTGGAGAGGACCGAGGCCAGACTCAAGGCAACGGTGTACCGCTCAGGAACAGCAAGCTAAGACCATCTCAACTTTGATTTCCACTACGGGGAGCTTGTCAAGAAAGACATCGTGAGATACCTGCATCATCGCGCAGAAGCCATCAGTCGGGGTGGTGCAGTCAAATTGAAGATGTCAACTTTACTGAGACGGTCCAAGGGAACGGTTGCACGAAGGTCTTCATTAGCCCTCCCCCTGATCCGCTGTGTTTCATAACGCGGACTGATAGGGGGTCGATATCGAGCCCCCTGGCGTTTCCAGACTAATGAAGATAACGCTTAGCTAAAAACACCATTGCATTGGTCTCAACGAGATATCCCCTTACGCTGTCAAAGCAATAATTGATCCCATTATATCAGGTCAAAGATCAAATTTTACGCTCAAAATCACATTTTTCCGGTATACGATATTATTTATACACACGAGGGCATGCTTGGTAACGACATAGAAAATATACATGCGCATTGGTTTTCTAGTTACAAGTGCAATGGTGTATGATTGGATGTGCTTCGAGCGTATATTTATGACATATGGCTGGGTTCCCGTGACAATGTCGGACCGCTGCGCGCGCTCGGCGGCGTCGTTGGTTGTTGGCCGTCGCCCGCGCCGGCCGTGGATCGCCGTGCAGTGTCCCTCAAAGCCCGACGCTGCTCCGAAACCAGAAAAAAAACTAGGAATACACGTTTGGTGCCAAACGCGCCCAATGAGTATCCAAAGGTGACTGAAAATTTGGGCGCGTTTGCACAACATGCATTCTCAATAGACCTTAAGAGGGTCGGATCGACCCCGCCCCATATCAGGGCGAGGATTAAAGATAAATCAAGAGAACTTATCAGCACGGCACAGCCTTAAGGTAAATCATTTGCGACATCGTCACGTCCTTACCACAGGATTCCCTCAGGAAAGATTTGGAAAATCTATAGATGCTTCATCAAAATTGCCTTCAGAAACTGCATTACTACGGCGAACCTCACCCAGGTCAGGCCACCAGTGCCTGTTAAGAATTGGACACCTGTATATGTGACAAATCAAATCAGTTGCGGAAGATCGCACGGAAGGTGAAACAGGCCGCTCACCTCCAGTCAGGCTTCACGTGCACGGGAAAGGAATAATCGGGAACGAAAGAGCGAAGTCCGGTGTGGCAGAGCCTATGTAGTCAGTAGAATACCGGCCAGCAAGCCGGGGACGAAGTGGCTATCATCGACAGAGGGTCACATTGGTGAGTACGAAACAAAAGGAGGTGGCGCGCATGACATTAGCTCCAAACACTCCTCAGCGAGCCTAGTGCTGACAGTGAGCCCAACAGGACTACCTGCGGTTAGGCAATTTTATAACCCCAAAGGCAATAAAAGGAACTTCTAACGCGCCATGGGTCGTCTTCGATATTGCAGAGGTCAGTGTTTTTCCATGAACTGCAAGGTCGTAGGGTCGGAACTCCAAACTGCTGTGTAGGGCGCCGATAGTGTAGTTTCACGTTAATCACCGCGCGTCTGGGAAACCAGAGTTACGGGGTTCGATTCCCCGCGATGCCCGCCCTACGTGCCAGAGTGAGAGGCGGGCGACGCCACCTGAGTGCACCGTAAAGCCCCGATGACGACCGACGTCAGTGGTGAAGCTGTGGGAAACTCTTGTTGCTGCAGCACGTTTATGGCCTCGCCTTAAACATTTTGAAGACACATACCGCATGGCATTTCACCACCTGACGACCACCGGAGTAACAGATGGAACGTTTTGCCAAAAAAACAAACAATAACGCTGGCATGAATAGAGCCTGTGCTGCTATTTTCTTATGTATTAGCATTTCGCCCTTAGCATTTCGTGGCGTTGTTGAGCTCCGATGTGAAATGCTCGGCATCGGACCTGGAGGCGCCGGTTGGACCGGTAAATAATGGTCAGCTTGTATCTGGTGAGACGAAGCTTCGATCGCTCCATGTCACACGTGAAACCCTCCAAACTTTTGTCATGTGGTCCTCCCCCTTCTCCTCGAACCCTGCTGAACTTGTACGTCGGATCACGGGCATTGTGTATGCAAAGCGGTCTTTAAATAATCACGAGTCCAAATGTTTGCAATGGGCTGCTCTTACGATCGCATCAGCGAAGGCCGAGCGGGTCCTTTATAGTGTTCCCCAGGGTCCGAGATGTGACTCAAGATCAAGTACTTTCAAGAGGAAGGTTGACAGAATTTCAACAGCCTTGAAGAAAGAAAGCTGTCGCCCCACCGTCTGGTGCCAGTGACTGGATGCGCAGTGGGGCGGCGGTTCCCGACGCCCGGGCCTGGGGCCGCCAACTCAGCCATGTGCGGTGCTACCCCGCTCTTATCGTTGTCATGTGCTGGATCCGAAACATCTGTGCTCTAACTTCTCAAGACTAATGTGTATGCCACGTCGTAACACTGCATTCAGCATGTCCCTAGTCCTTCAGCAACATAATTCACCGACGTGCCTGGCGTGCATCAACATGTCCTGATGGACGCCACAGTCCGCGCTCAACGCTTGTTGTAAACTTGCTCACGTGCGCAACAATCCTCTCGGTTAAGCCCATTGTCGCCAAATCACTGACACATAAAGAGGATTTTGTCGCACGTGCGACAGCTCTTGCGTAAACCCCGTTTGATCTCGCCGCCGGAGCGCGTCGCCCAGCGTTCACCGAAGCGAACAAGGGGCCTGCCGGCGCAACCCCGCCCGCGCCCCGCAGCCAGCAGGCAACACGGCCCGTTTCGCCTGCGCGAGAGCCCGCGCGAGCTGCCGCCGCGACTGCTCGCTGATTGGCTGCCGAGGTGGCATCACAAGAGCCGCCGCTGCCGCCGCCGGCGGCGCCTCAGTTGGCCGCTGGGTGGCGGGTCGGGTGGGGTGCCGCCGCGCGTGGAGCAGAGCAGTCGACGCGTGCACGTGTGGAGCGTCGCCTGGACTGACTGTGGGCTCGCCTTGTGGGACTGGCCGCGGCGCTATGTTTCTGCGGAGGCGACCGGCGGGGCTCCGCGGATGCCCGCTCTGAAGGGGAGGCGTGATGGCGCTGGCGGCCGTCAGGGAGATCCTGCGGCGCGGGGTGATTGTGGTGGTAAGTGGCCCCTGCCCACGGCTATCCCCTGTGTCGAAGTACTGGCCAGGCGGCTAACTGACTGCGTGGCAACCGATCTGAGATGGATGTAAAAAATGCAAGATCATCATTTATTGCAATCGGGTTATATTCGGTGCTGCTGCTGTTGCATGCAAGTTCGGCTTCAGGTGTGGGGATGGCTTCCTTCACCGGTCAGAGTGATGGCGCTGGCGTTCCCTGTCACCTGACGCCCCATCTCTGGATTGCGGCACGCTCCGATTCCGCTTCGGTGCTCTTTGTCTCGCAGCTGACGCAATTAGTAATCAGCCCGCGCTGTGTGAAGAGTATGTTAAGTCGGTTTTCTCTTTTCCCGGTTTTACATATTACTTGAATAACAGATTGCATTTGCGTTTGCAGAATTGGTGGACAGGAATCTCCAGTATTGGAAATATGTTAAATGTGTACAGATGAGACTGCCGTGGATTGGATCACTTCTGTGCACGTTTCGCGCATTGCACAGTGACATCCGGTCTCAACATTGACCGCATTCATGCAGCGTGGAAGTCGCTACCTAAGGTGTCAACCGACTGATTCGTGTCACTTCAGGGAGGCAACACACTCGTCATATGGACCTAACAAGAAGCCAAGCCTCATGAGAAAGCTTCTTAGACACTACAAAATAAAACGAAGTTACGTGCGTGCGGGGCTGGAAAAATGTTCGGTGTGTAGGTCATGCGATATTAGTGCGACGCGGGTCTAGTCATCCAGCTACCCTCTGGCACCGCCTCGTCATACCTCAATGGACTCCTGTCGAAATACTTATCAGTGTTTGCGAACTGTTTACATGAGTCTGAGCACCGAATAAGTGTTAGTCAACAACACTCTAGCACCAGAAAAATGTACGAGTACAATTCTCTTCCACCTGGAACACTTCTCATAATTTCTCTGTGACAGTACGGAGAGGCTTGAAGCAATGACAAGCCGCCCACGCATAATGTAAACACAGGTAGACACGATGTTCACTGTTGGACAGGCGGTAGCGCTTACAGGTTGCGTGATTCGCGGCATGTGAAGCCCGTAATACGTGGCCGCGCTCTGGCCACCGAATGCAACGCGGGGTTCTGAACAGCCGCTACCCAATGCAGGCGTTCTGTGCGTCTTCTTGGCTAGATAGTTCTTGGCAGGTTTAATGGCAATCATTTCAAAAGATACGTACTAAACTGCACCGCTTACGATAGATGTAACTTGAAATGAGCTGTCCCAGTCGCCTGCTTTTCGGGGAATTACTGGAACTGATAAGCCTACAAAGAGGGAAGGGCAACTCGGACTCATTCTCCGCGTAACAACATCAATACAGTGTTAACACCATCCCCTTATATCCTCTCTTTTGCATGCGTCGCATTAAGAACAAAGCATGGGACACTAGGTGATCCACTCGGGGATCCGTATTTACCATGTAATAAATGCGTGAGTCCTAGGTTGTCAGATGGACGCGATACTTTACTGGGCACCAAAGTTGATCAATCAACCAAAATGTTAGAACTTTTTATGGGGATGGAAAAACGTTATGGGTGTCCTGCAGTTTGTACTGCTGGCAACGTGCGTTGATTTGGTTGCAAACCATCCAGACACCGTCAGCCGCCTTTTCCGCATTCACTGGCTTACGAAGTGACAAAGCTAATGATCTTAACACGCTGTTTGCGTAAATAATTACCCTGATTTCACAGTCGAGGCTGTCAATGACAGATGTGCAAACGGCACGTACTGATGCCGCTAGTTATGTGAGTTTATTACGTGTTTATCGCCTCCAGCGGAAATTTGTTTCAGTTTGTTATCAGTTGTCCACCGTTCTATTGCTACTGGCCTTGGCCGACAGCTTTCGTTTTTGTTGGCGACTGGAATAGCTTTTCAGGCTATTCTGGTCGCCAAGATACACCATGGGTGAAATGATAAAATGCCCTTTTGTGCCGTCTTTGCCTTATTTATCACGCATGACGTGCTAGAAGCCTCTAAAAATATTTTGAAGAACAACTCCTCTGTGTTATTCTATCCTCAGTTTTAGCGAGTTAGGAACGTCTCTGGCGACTCAGCAGCGTCTTTACGCCCTTGGTCTATTGTGCACCTTAGAACGGATCCCGAAAGCTGCGGATGGGATGGGCGGCAGCACAAAAAATAGTGACATGCCGGCCGGAAATGCAATTGGGATGGAAGGGATGCGTGAATTAAATTACCCTCAACGAGAAACAATGATGGAACAACCGGTACGTTGGGAACAGACAACGGACAGTTTCCCGATGATAATAAAAAATTGGTCAAGTTGTTTTTAAATATTGTTAGATTCTGATTCGCCGAACATGCCCGCCAATCCAGGCAGGACGACATCATCGCGGCAAAAAAGCCTTTCAGGAAATCGGCGACCCGTGCCAGAAATTATGTTTAGTATTATGCACGGAAAGATGCGGTATCTCCGAATTCCACGATGCATAAGCGTTTGCAAGCTGCGTACACTCAGTCCTGCAAATTAACCGGAGTCGGCTCAGTAGTTGGTTCGCTGGCCTGCGTTCACATCGCCAGTTCCAAGCACGAAGCCCGTCCGTCACTCATCTCCACGCGCTGAAGCACATTGTTACGGACTTGCGCTTTCGAGTTCGAGGGAATCACACAGCTGTCGAAGACGCCGACTGACATGCGTTTCGTATGTGGGTGATGGCTGTAATGTGGAGGGCCTGTTGTGCCTCACGCCTCCGCAGACGCAAGTCGCCCCTCTAGCGGCACTGGTCGCATCTACGCACGCCCCGACTTGACGCTTGTCGATAGTTCGCTGGTTCTGTACGCATTGCGACGTGTGAGGATAAGCTGCACCAGCCTATGTATGGCAGCACTGAAGATCATTCCCACATCTGTTCAACTGAGACCAAACAACCCGCGCTTTCGGGAGCCCCCCCCCCCCCCCCCCCCATTCAAGAAGTACGGACCTCATCGTTCTGTGGTGCTCGCTTGCTGAGACCTCGGTCAATCTCGCCCGGGGCAGAAGCCCCCAGGGCACCTAAAGGTCACACGGGACGGCGTACGCCGAGAAGTCGTCGAGAACGGATGCCCTCGGCCCCCAGCCAGTTAAAGCGGTGTGACTGGTTATTGATAACTCTCACTTATAGTGCGTTTCATGATTCATATCATTCATGTAGTAAGGTAATAAAAGGGGTTTGAAATGCTCAGTTGAGGCGAATGTAACTTGTAACTCAAATGTAACTTGTAAAAATACTGTTAAAATAAATATCATCACCTCAAATATTAACCTCTGTCCTGTTGTAAGAAGAACGCGTCGATTTATTCCACTCATCCTACATCATTTGTTCCGAATCAGGGACGTTACAACACTCTGTCAAGAGCTTTCCTGATGTAACAAGTAAAAACACAAAGCCCACCTTTTATACGCAATGTTAGAAGATAATGGGTTCTTGTACGTCGACTACATCTCGACTTAAGCTTTGGTACACTTCTCAAAGTGGCGATAAAATTGCGGAACATCCATTTGTCCGTCATCAAGAGCCATTACCCCTGTGCAACATTCTTTATTTAAACATGCTTTAATTCGTTATCAATATCGTTATGTCCTATCGCAGTTAAGTGACATGCTGACATTTCTCCAAAATAAACTACCATGTACATGTAGGTCCGATAGCAATTGTGGGCGCACGTGGAAGCTTCATATTTTAATAAATCAATTATGCCACGTTTCACGTCGAGGGAATCAAACGAAGATGATTAACTTCGACGACTAAACCAACACCTCATTTATGGGATAAGCCTGGTTCGCGGTAGGGTGATGAAGGGTGTCTCGCCGACGTGTTATCCATCTCGCACCCTTTATTGTCGTGTCAACTCCAGCCATCCCCTTAAGAAAGCAAGCAGCTAAACCGCAAAGAACCGGCAGAAATCCAGTGACGAGACGAAGGGGGTGGAGGAGCGAGCGGAAATAGCATTACCGCCGGTAAAAGCCTGTCAACCACGATGCTACCTCCATCCAATTTCCACAGCCCCCCCCCCCCCCCCCTCCTCCCTCCTCCCGGAGTCGCTTATTCGGACGGATTCCTTCCGAGTGCGCCTAACGCGTGCTGGTGCATAATTCCCGTTCGTCATCGCAGGCGATGTTGTTGTCCGGCGTCGCAATCGCCCCTTCCTTCACGAGGCCGCACAGCCTCCACCGGGCGTCACAACCGCAACCACGCGTCACATCTGCGTCGCCTGGCGTGCCATCAGGCCGGGGCATGTCGTCACGGCGCCTCGCGCGCCGCGCCGGGCGCTGAGCGTCACGCCGCGTTACGCCCCGGCCGTGTCATCGGCGTCGACACGGCGGTCATCACGCTCGGCGCCGGCCGCCGTCCGTGCCGTCCGTGACGGAGATCCATCACAGCCGTGACGCGATCACCGCCGCGAGGCGCTCCTCCGTGCGGTCATCAATCGCCGCCCGCCGCCGACGGGACACCCGTCTGAATGCCCCCCCCCCCCGCACACGACACCCTGAATGTACCTACCCCCTCCTCAAGATCGTGCCGCCCTCACCTGCGAGTGTATCGATCAAAGGAGCCGCCGCCTTGTCCCAGCCGCCGCCGGGTTCATGCACGCCTGCGACGGCGGCGGGGCGCCGAGGCGTGACGACGTAACGCGGCGTGACGCCGGGCGTTGTCGCGTCTTGTCGGGTCACAACAGAAGCTCCTCCTGCTGGGCTGACCCGTGGCGGGATGGGCGGCGGTGAGAGGCGAGCGGAGCGGGGGTTACGGCGCGCCGCGGCAACGCCGGTTGACGCGCGACTCACGGAGGCCGGCCGTTTCAGGTGATCCTGGTCAGCGCCGGCGTGGGGGAGACGGCCGCCCGGAAGCGATCCTCGCGGCCCGAGTACTGCGACAAGCAGGTAGGGATGGACGGCGGGAGTCCGCTGTCTGGTGGACGGGTGTGAGCTGCAGAGAAGAGCGCTCAGTCGCATATCCAACATTGGAATCGGACGGCCAACATGACGATGGTGGTGGCGATATTTGGCGTTTTAGGGATAACGACTGCGTGGTTATTCAGTGTCCAATGCAACTAACAGGTTATTTAGCCCTGATATAGAGGTTAATTATTTTCAAATATTCCGCATTGGGTGCGGAATGCGATCGCAGACACGTTTGGTAGTTCAGCTTACCTGGTGGACACATTACTGATGCACGCGTCTCTGAGTCCTGCAATGTGGTTTGATGTAACGCATTTCATAGACGTTATTTTGGAGACAGACGGACACACACGTGAAAGGGTAAAAAGGGCTGCCAAATATCAAGCAATAGTGTGCAGAACCGCACTCACTACGGCGTAACCTTTGGTCTGTTGTACCGTACATGCGATTGTACTGTGGCAAATCGCAGCAACTGGTCTTAGTCCGCCATTTCCAGCTCCTTCCACTAACACTCGGGATGCTCCTCGCCGGCTTCCTCTCTTTCTCTCTCGCCACTGTCGCCTCAAACATACACCGCCACCGACTGTCGCTCTCCGTGAGGAGCGACGGAGAGCCGCAGATGTCGGGCACTCTCCGGGCTGCTGTCACCCTGACGCCCGGCCGGGACCCGGTCACATCGCCGAATCTCGCCCGGCCCCCGCCGGGACCCGGTCACATCGCCGAATCTCGCCCGACACCCGCCGGGACCCGGTCACATCGCCGAATCTCGTCCGACACCCGCCGGGACCCGGTCACATCGCCGAATCTCGCCCGACACCCGCCGGGACCCGGTCACATCGCCAAATCTCGCCCGACACCCGCCGGGACCCGGTCACATCGCCGAATCTCGCCCGACCCCCGCCGGGACCCGGTCACATCGCCGAATCTCGCCCGACGCCCGCGGCCGTCGCGCCGGCACGTGTCGCGCTCCGCCGCGGCCCGCCCCCTGATCCGCTGGAGGCCCGGGCCGGCCAGAACTGCCGAAATACGGCCGTCAGCGGCGACCTGCGGCAACACGCGCCAGATTAGCGCCCTCGCGGCGTTATTGACGCAGGGAAACCTGTCAGCGGTGGCGGCGGCACCTGGCCAGAAGCCTCAGGGGCCATCGTATTTCACCCCGTGCCGGCCTGTGTTTGGTGGGGGTCAGCGCGAGCGAGGTCGTGCTCCGGCGCGCCACCTGCCACCGTTACTTTATTATCGTGTATTGGAATCTCCTGTTTCTTTCGAGCTCTCGGTTGTTGAAATTTTTATGGAGGCCTTTGAAGAGACAGCGCGATGAAACGCGCGCTTGTTCTGGGGCTTGCTCGGTTATTACAGCTGTTCGAGGTGGCAGGTGTTTACTTTTCACTGTAGCCTATGTGGCAGGAACGAGACCCAGGGATCGCATTTGTCTTGTGTTTACGGCGTTGAATGTCTCGCTGTCCGGATTCAGCTCATCTTATGTCTGTAGCCTGGCAGCAGTCCAACTGTTCGATGTAAGCAACCGTGTGGATTTTCAGTTTGTAATTTGACGCGTTTGATCGCCTCAGGATTCGTATCGCGCTGATGTGGTGGATAAACTCCCACCCAGAGTATCATAATCGTCTTCGGAAAAACCGGTCGGGAAAGGGACCGTGCAAATCGGGTTAATATTCAGGAGATGCGTCATGGTGCACCGGCTTGCAATTTTCGTAGGGAGTCCTCAAATACAATACAAGACAAGGGAGTATGAGAAAGAGTCGCACATTCGTGTATACTGTAATATTTAGGTGTTCGGGTAGGTACGCTAGAATGTTGTATGAGACTCATCGGAACCTGCTGTTCGAATAGTTCAGAATGTATAGTAATGTTGTCGAATTGTGACTCAAACGAATTTATGGTGGATAAGATAGTAGTAATAGCCTTATCCCCGGAAAAAAATCAGGGAAAGGGAGATATAGGTGCATTGATATTCTGGCAACATGCCTTTATCGAAACCAGAGCAGAAGAATCTACGCTGTAGACTGGGAGCTTGCGTCAACGTGCAAGACCAACAAGAAATACGCTTGCATCGTGGACCTCCGTAATCTGGCTGTGAAGGATCCCGTCTCGCAGCCTGCTGCACTGCTCGACGCGATTCTCCGCAGCTGTAGTGCGGAGGTAACGCAATACATTCATTTATTGTCCGGCCATAAATCCAAGCGTCCATTACCCATCATACATTCAATGAACACCACCATCTGTACCAGCCGCAAGGTTCTAGCACGCTGAATCCTTATAAGCTCGATAGCAGGACATTGAGAGCCCCGCCCATAGATCCGAGGTTCGATAGCAGGACATTGAGAGCCCCGCCCAAAGGTCCGAGGTTTGGTTCCCGGGTGTACTATCCACATTTCAATGCGTCGGTCAGACGAGCAGCGTCATCTACGCGCAACGCTGCTACCAGCAGCCTTTGCAGTTTGGTTAGGAGATAACACAATATACACATGAATTCCCCGCTAGTTATAAAACATCCATCAGATGAATAAGTCGAACGTTGAAGGTTTACGTTGGAAATCCGGTATCTCGTGCCTCATGCGTACAACTGACAAAGAGATTCGAAGCAGCGTCAAAACATAAAGTTTTACATAAGAGAACTCAGTACATAGTACAGTATACATGCGGTAATAGCCGACACTTTTTCCATAATCTGACAGCATATTTTGGGGCGGCTGTTCTATCCTGTTGCTACATAACTCCACGGGACGTTATTGTCAGCATGCACCCCTGGTACGAACTTGTATGCAACCGTATGCAACCCTGGTATGTATGTAACCCCGTATGCAACCCTGCTACGAACTTGCACCGTCGTACAACTGCAGCGGTGCAAGGGCAGCACGCTGTCGTACCACTCTAGCGGTACAAGAACAGTGCAATGCGGTTTGTTGTATCTGAGGAGCGATCCCAAAGCTGATGGCCAGCCTGCCCTCCATTGTAACCCTTCAGCCACAGAGATGTTTAAGGGAATGTTTCGCATTTAAAGATATTGAAGCAAGCCTCAGATATGATGACACAAGCTCAGTTACGGGCATTTATATGCTTTTAAAGTGGAAAGGACTGCTTTGGACGGTACAACACTCTGTTTATTAAACATGCTATTCAGCGCGTCATAGTTTCATTACATCATCGTACCTCGCACAACATTGATTGAAAGCCAATTGACGGCCGTCATATCTAGAAATCGCGCTCACGAACGCCAGGTATGAACGCCTCGACAACTGTATTTTGCTTGGCCTAGATGGCCGCATGGCTTATGGAATAACAGGATTTGAGTGGTGTTATTTTGACGTCATCCATATCAAGGTGAATTCGAAATACTCTCCCCGATATACCTTTTCCTATTTTCGCGGGCGTATAGCCCAGAAAGTAGAGGGGCTTAGGTCTGAAGAAGGGCAGGATTGTGAAGAGCACCAAAGGGTTTTCAAGATGACTTTTTCAGTTCAAAATCCTAATAAATGTGACACACTCCCTGTAAGGTTTACCGCAATTAGGTTTCGGGTCGATTTGTATGTTCTTCAGAGTGCATGTGCTTCTTGAGCAAAGCACGCACCATGCTTTAACTGCCTGGGCGTTTGCATGGTCCCATGCCACATTTGCCTCCCGATTATGACAGAACTTAAAACAGACGTTCTACTGCTTTGTCATTTATGCCCTCGTGTTCTAACTTCCAAAAGTTCTGGAGATGACAAAAAGGAACAATGTGTGCACATGAACGTGCGGATGTCGGCATAGAATGGTCGCCATGATGACAACATCGGCTACCATGCTGTCGCGGGGGGCCGTAAACATTTACCTTGTTGCCACGTGCCTTTTCTGGTCATGGGATTCCTGCCTGTTTAGAAGCGACGCAATTCAAACAAGAGACAGTCAAATGCACTGCATGAAACGAACAGGACGGTTAATGTTTGTCGGTTGTAGCACGCAACAACACCGACAAACAGCGCTGCCGGATTGCCCCACATCCGTGGCCAGTTCGCTGCACTGTCCGGGTCATGAGCCCGTCTCACAAGCACAGGGCGGGCCGCCGTCGACCATAGCGTGACGACGTCACGCCTCACCGGTGACCCCGTTCGGAGTCACCGAGCCGCGGCAGGTCGGACGGCGGCGCTCCTCGTGCGTGAGGCACGGACGGCGCGGCTGCGGCGTGCGCGGCGCACGTGGCGCACCGCTGGACACGGTCCGGTGACGGGCTCCTGTAGGCGGGGCTGTGCGCCGGAGGTGGTCGCGCCGCGGAGATCCGGCCCCAGCTCGGGCGTGCCCCACCCACGCCCCGCCCATACGGAAGAGAAATTAGAGAGCTTCGGTGGGAGGGGCACTGCTGATATGCACGCACGAACGGAGTGCCCCTGGAATGCCATCACACGGTTCATCGAGTGTTGTTAATTTGGACGAGTTATGTCGCCTGTCGTTTTAAGGCAAGCAGTGAAGCACATCCTTACAGTTGTACTGTAAAACTGGGCTACGGTCAAGGCTAATGAGTTTTTGGGAGCATTGGGTGTTGTACCCTAGAGAGCACTCATTATGATACGAACATATATGATTGAGATAGTAAAGACTATTGAAAGCGTATATGTATACATATGTATAAATTCGTATAATTTGTATATATGCGCGTATGTGTGTGTACACAGAGCGTATACTGTACATTGTATTTGTAGGGCGACACGTGTGGTGCTGGTAAGCAAAAATTTCACATGCAAACCATCTCTAGGAAATCACGTGCGTCCCACAGGGGCCCACAGGGGTGTCTGATACGGCTGTCAGTGATGCCTCGGCTGATGGCTGGTGATGTCCGCTAGCCACCTGTCACCATCCGGCACCGAGCGAAGGGGGGGGGGGGGGCGGTGACGGCCCGGCTCAGGCCGGGAATCGAAAGATAACACTTCTGGGCGTCTGTCCCGTCTGGCACCGCTGCCGGATGTGGGCTTAGTGACGTGACTCGCCGCCTCGGAGATCGGGGGTGACAGGTGGCGCGTGTAGGTGCTGCCTTCAATTATGTGAGGTAAATGAACTAACTAGATCAGGTGATAGACAGCGAAAGCCCAAGACCCGCGCGCTCTTTCTGGTTTTCAGATAGAGCGATAGCGTTAATCACCTCGCAGTGTTCGTTTCTTTGGATGGGTGTTTGAGTACAGGCTCTGCTCGCAACGGGTGGTATTTACCGCTCCGTGCCTGGTGCGCTTAGAATAATGGTTTTTCTGCTTTCACGAGTTCATTCACATCAAACGCCATGACTCATTCCGCGGAGCATCTTTTCCATATGATCGCCGGGCTCGGGGATGATACAGATCTTGATATTGTTTAACAGACCACCGGCGAATCGCATGAGAAGAGAGCTCGCGGCGTGCCTGCCGATGACTCAGCGCCGCCCTGTTGCAGACTCGTCAGTCATCGTTCCTGTGGCGCATCAACACTTCTCCGCCGTCCTACTTTTTCGGCACGATCCACGTGCCGTACGACCGCGTTTGGAGTCACATTCCGGATAACGTTAAACGCGCCTTCCACCTGTCCGACGCCGTGTTCTTCGAGCTGGACCTGACCAACTCCGAGACCGTCTCGGCGCTCACCAAGTGTCAGCTGCTACCGCGCGGCTCCCGCCTGGACCAGCTGCTCCCCAGTGATATCTACCGGCGACTCCAGAAGCACTTGGACTACGTGCGCCACATGATGCCGCTCTGGATGACGGCCGACCAGCGCGGCCGCGGCCTCTACGCCGACTACCTCTTCAACGCCATCACCGGCAACTGGCAGCAGAAGCGACCCGTCTGGGTGATGCTGATGGTGAACACGCTGACCGAGAGTGACGTACGGTCGCGTGGCGTGCCCGTGCTTGACCTGTACCTGGCGCTGGAGGCCGAGAAGCGCAACAAGCGCACCGGCGCCGTGGAGCGCGTCGAGGAGCAGTGTCTTCCGCTCAACGGACTCGGCATGCCACAGGTGGGTGTTCGGGCCATTTGGCTGGCTGAGGTGGTGCAAGTCTGTCGCGACCTGACAGACATCACGCTCTGTTTTGGTGCTCGTTTTACATCTAGTGTGGTCCTGCCAACGGAGATGGTGTTATTTGGCCGTGCCAGAGGAAATCATTTCCACGTCCTTGCTTTGAATTTCCGCAGCCTATGGTAAGTGCTTATGAGTTGAAACAAGTATGCTCTGGGTAGTACATCTGACCGTTCAGTGCTATATGGAGGTGAAAAGAAACCGTGGATATTGAGCAGAGTGCTTTGCCGCGAACGCTTGTTGTTGCGCTCGCCTATCTTTCGGCTCATGAGAGGAGGCTTAACATGGGCTGGCCTTGGTGCCATGCCAGCACGTTCTCAGGGGAAATAGCATCCCCGATGTACCGGCAGCTCCCGGCGATGAGCGTTAGAACCAGCCGCTGATGTATGGAGCTGCCGGCGGGCCCAGCCAATCTGATCTACTGCTCCGGTGAAGGCAACAGCCACATTTGTCAAGCCGCCAATACTCCGGCTGCTATTACTGAGTTATAATCGACGATGGTTATCGTCCAAAACCGGCCGTTAATTCTGGTTGCAGGACCACCCTGGCAGGCAGTATTTCAGTGTTTCGCCGCAGCGTGATGACGTGGATAGACGCTGGGAGCGCAAGGGGCTTTTGTCCGTCTTCAGCGCGCTTTTTCTGATGGCGTGGTCCAGCTCAGCCTTATCTGTGGGGTTGATGTTCGGCGGCATGAAAGCCGAGACCGCCTCGATTGTCGAGAAGATGGAGTGAAATCTGATGCGGTGTCCCGTAAATGGAAAACCGTCGGGGCTCCTTCGGACGGCAGGGGCTTTACTGGGCAGCCAACCAAAGTCAGAATCATGATGGATTTGGGGGCTCTGACGCCACCCGACATGACGCGCAGTGACGTCCGAGCAGCGGCCGGGCGTCACACAAGTCGCACGCGGGGTCATGTTCGGCGTCCTGAACATACGGCCACGTATCGGCCAGCGTGTCGATTTCTGTCCAACACGGCCAAGGGGCCGGGTCTACGCCGGCGCGATTTTGTCCGTTTTGGATCCGGGAAGGAGCTGTCCTTTTCGCACGTGTAGCCACCGCGACGAGCACTCCGTCTGTCGGATCCGGCCGGCTGATGTCCGGCCGCTTCTGACTCCGGACTGCGCGGCCCGCTCCTGACTCGGGGGACCGGAGGAGGACTGCCACACCCGCGCCGGGTCCAGAGGGACACGGTCACGGCGGGAGGATCCCGACGGAGCCTGTCTCATCCTCTGCGCCGGGTCCGACTGGACTCAGCCGGACCCGGTCTGCGGGCCGGTCCGGATCTGTTTACACGTGGCGCGTCCGACCGCCGGAGGCGTTTTTGTCCGCGTTCTGTGCCGTTTTTGTCTCTGGTAAAAGGCCGGCCGGAGCAGACGTGCGTGAACCCGAACTCTCCGCTCTCTGCCCGGCCTCCGGCGGCGCTGTGATGCGGACAGGTGGCATGCACTGACCGCCGCAGAGGCGGGTGTGTGCACGGGGTCGGTGCATGCACCTCTGCACGCCAGGTCTTCTGGTGTGGGCAGAGTGGGAGTTGGCGTGGTGAGGTGATTTCTGAACTGATCACTGGTCAACTGATTTTAAGGTGTTTGCATCGCTACAGCTGCATGTGGCTTCAGGTCAGAAAGTCTATTTTCAGACGTTCGAACGGCCTCGATAGTGATATTTCATTTGCATGATGAGTGCTTCTCACGACCGCTTCAGAGTACTCTAGGAACTTGGTCCCATGATCGCACCGCACGGCCTGGAGTACGGTACTTGTTTAAGTCGGCACCGGGTGTTCAGGCTGCACTGCGCAGCCGACACGCGGATTTCTGTGGGCCTGACTGACGACGACAGCCGACGTCTATCTAAACACACTTAATTTGTTGGATGGCATAAGAATCACGCTGGGCTTAAGAAGCTGTTAATAGCTCGCCAGCCGGACAGCTGGTGATCGTTTAAGACCCATACGCTAGTTCGGTGCATATGCCCCCACACATAAATTTGCGGCTGGGTCAGACAAACACATTCACATGCCTGGCAACGTCATGTCCATCTAAAAATGTCTGGCCAAGAGACGCTGTGCTTCCCGCCGGTCATGTTAAATAGATACCATAGGCCGCTCCCTGGCTTCCAATGAACGGGCTACCCGCGCAGCGAGAGCCATTACGGTGTTGTCGATGCTCAGTAAAACTAATTCTGCTCAATGCAAATCATCCAAGTCTCGCAGCCATGACTTCTTCCTGATTCTTGTGATCAGCCCCGCCAAAGATTACTGACCACAGGTCAAGTAACGAGAGACATCTCTCTCGGCTGCAGAGACGTGGTCAGTGTGGTCGCACCCAGCGGGCTCCTCGCGAAGGTTCCGGCTCTTCCGGTGTTGCGCGGCACGTCACCAGGTGCCGCTGTCCCGCCCTCACCTGACGGCTGGCGTTAAGACGCTTGGGTCGGTTCCGGAGCCCCTGGCCAGAGTCAGTCTCACGTGGGTCGGCCTGGACCCCCGCCGGCGGCGGCGTGGTCACGATCAGCCAGCGGCGTGGCCGGTCCGCTCGTGACGCGCGGGAGAAGCTCCGCCCGGGCCTCAGGACCCGCCTCTGTCGTCGGGCCGGGGACACCGCGGCGAAGCGGCGCGGATGGACGTTCGGGTGAAGGATAAAATACGCAGGCCGTATGGAAGGCGGCGAGAAACGATCTTGTTGTCATCGCCGCTCCGACCTGCGCTTGAAGGGCAGGCCAGCGATAATCGTCAATGGCTTACGTAGGGAATCACGTCTTTCGACGACCCAGTTTCATGAACTCGTCGGCTATGAGAAAACTAACGAAAATGTTCCATCGGACGTCAGCGGCCGGACACTTTTTGACAAAATCACTAAAAAAAATTGCACCGTATATATATATATATATATATATATATATATATATATATATATATATATATATATATATGAATATCTTCTTGCCCGTAGGCACCAATCTAGCACTCCCATAGCCGACCCGTGGCGGCGTGTTCTTTCTGATCTCAGTCGGTTCTGGATGTTTGACACCACCCCTCCCAGTTACAAGGCATGCTGACGCCGGCTTCACGGTGTCCGCCGGACACGGCCAAAGCACGCCGCTCCGCTGTTCGTCCTGCCGTCAGCATGCTCACCGGACACGACCTGTGTTGAACAGAGCTGGCGTCCCGCTGCGCGCTGTTATCATGCTGACGGACGGCAGTGTACCGGCGGCGAAGACCGGTTCGCCTACAACACTGGGTACAGGCTTGCCAGAGACAACAATGTTCCGACTTGCTTCACGAGGACACAATCCAGTCCCGACTCCTCACGGTAGAAGGCGGTGGACATGCTCGTTGTTTTTGAATTATATATACATGCATATATATATATATATATATATATATATATATATATATATATATATATATGAGTGTGTGTAAAAGTCATTGTAACGTGTGATCTAGTGCATCCAATCACATAACCGTTATGTAGACGTTGCCTCGCGAGCCATCTCGTTTCAAATCGCCTTGCCGGGAGCCGTCACGCTCTCCCACTTCCTTTCATTTCACGCTGCCTTCACTACGCCGACGACATCCGTGTCCCTCCGCTCTCTCCTCGTCGACTTCGACGCTGGGATCGGCCGTCGATCGTCGGTCGGCGCGGGCCGCGTCGACGGACGCGACGGAGCGCGCAGGACGGCGTGTCGCGCGCGCCCTGGCCATTGTGACGCCCGCATTAGGCCTGATGGATGCCGGCGGGGCGGCCCGCCGCGCCCGGCCGGCCGGCCTTTGGGGCTCGCGGGACCGGGACGCAGGCGGGGCGCCGTCACGGCCTGAGGCGGCGGCCGGCGGCGAGGAGGCTGGCGGCGGCTATTTGTGTGCCCGCGTGTGGCTCGGCATAGGTCAGGGCTAAGTGAGTGCTCAGTTCGTGTGGGCTAGCGGTGAGCGTGAAGGCTCGCGTCGGCGCTATGTCCAGGCTGTGTTCTGCCCGGATCTCTCAGAAGACGGATGTTTCTCCGAAGTTTGGAGCTGGAATTCCTCGGCCAGTTCGACCAGCGATTTGTGCGTGACACGATGTCACACGCCAGCCACTTGCAAAATTGGACGGTTCGCTGAAAGGCCGGCGGAGGCCGTTGTTTTTCCGGACTTGTTGGGCTCAGGCTGACAGGCTGACTGTATCTCCGAGCCAAATATGTGAGTCGCGCCCGCCAAAGATGACCTCGAAGGCTGAGTGAATGTCTTCTCTGAGCCTCGGCATCGCCTTCCAGGCTGACTCTGACCTCCAAGGCGGAATGGATACCCCCTTACACCGGCCATGCGGCTGGTCGGTTCGACTGGAGAAGGTAGTCGCTGCCGACAAAATGCCGAAGTGTTCGTCTCTGTTTGCGTTTTCTAAAAGCACTGAACAGACCTTCGTTAACCTATGTCAAGGGTTTGGAGCCGTCTATGCGGTGAAAGGTAGACATAAACTGAGGATGATGCTCACTGCCCCCTCAAAACCACAGCATACAAGTTACGCTTCCTAGTCCCTTCTCAACGATATCCTTGAGTTTAAGTCGATAGAACCCCGACTGCTGAACAGTTGGACCACTGTCAGCTAAAAGCGCACGCACGTTTCCTCGCTTTCAGTCTAATGTACCGGCCGAGCGGTCAGACGACAGCGACCTTACCTCTGCAGCGTGATTCTGATCTGCCTCTGGAGAGCGTGTGCCAATCCTTCGGCCCGGCGAGCGCGACCCACCAGCCAGGCTGACGCGGAGACGGAGCACCGGCGCCCGGTGACGTCACGTGGCCGGCCTGGCGCGAGCTGACAGCGCACCGGAGGCGCCAATTAGCGGTAACACGGACGGTGACATGCCGCCAGCTGCGGCGATCCCGGCGCGCCTGAGACGGACAGGCGCGGGCGTCAGAAAGATGAGTTTGGCTGTCAGATGAACGAGCTAGGAGGTCAGATTGACGGATCTGG